AATTTGATTAATCATGGGGTAGGGAAAAGAAAGCACCTTATAGTTTTGCAATATGATTCTGTGTATCTCTAGCATAACAACAAAATACATCCCAGGGAAGAGATGTTCTACTGAAAGAAGATATACTAAGTGAAGGCTTTCTTGTACACTTCATTGTCTTACGAATTTAAATGATACTGCAAAATGACTGTTTTTACACTAGATCTTCAATTCAATACAAAAAACATGAATTTTTACCTTATTACTTGGATGTTTGAGTTGTAAACACTTTTGCTATAAGGGGGTAACTCTGTTCCATCTAGCACACTACAATTCTTTTATCTCAGCCACAAAAGGAGCTTTCTGCCATACGAAAGGTCACAGTTAAACTGGGAATAATGTTAGTTCTCAAACCAACATTTAAAAAGAACCCAACCTGTCTGTCCAAGATAGAACTGCTGAATGTGATGGGATATCTGGGGTATTGCCCTGACAGGCGTAATCAGTGGAACTTTGGGTCTGTACAGAAATACATTATTGTTAATATCCCATAGGAAACTATAATTTTGATAGATGCCCTGTTCATAGAGAAACTTCCATGCAGAAGGCATGAAAAGTAGTCTGGGTGGCTCACTTTTAATAGTTGAGGAAAATTAAAAAACAAAAAAACCACCCACCACAAAATACACTTCATTTTCATGAAAATGTCAATGTGCATATTTTTCAGCATGTTCCAAGGGGTAGCATTTTGTTTGAACTTGATTTTTTCCCCCCAAAACAAAAAAGTTGTTATTTCTCATTCTAGTTATTGCACTCACAGAACAATCTGAGCTCCTTCTGTTGGCAAAAATACTGTCTGGCAATTCATTCTGCAGAATGCCAGCGAAAGCAGTGCTTGGGGGACCGTGTGCACTGCGCTGTGATGAAGGGACTCCATGCAGCATCTAAAAGCAAGGTAAAGCCCCCCTCAGGTAGCCCACTGTCTCTGAACTATGACAGGGCTGGGTGGATTGGCAGCTGCTCCCCCAGAAATGCTAATAGTTGTAATCCCAGCAGCAGGGAGGTGATTCTCTGGAGAGCAGAATACATAACACAGCAGGGATGCAGACAGAAGAAAAGGAAACCCTTTCTGACAAGCTCTGTGAAGACTAAGCCAAGACTACTATGACAACATTATTGTGGGCCTTGGTTGAAGCATGTCCTGCTTTATTTTGGCCTCTGGCAGAGGAATGCCTTTTCCCTTGGACCACAGCTTTCAGCTGGAGAAAGCCACGAGGTTTGACAGAGCTCTCTGATTTCATACAAGTGGATCCTTACAGTGTTTCAGCTCCACCCAGGCATACGCAGCCCATTTGGTGAATTGCTACCTCTCTGGCTGGCCTTTAGCCACTGGGAATTTCTGAAATGACTAGTTTGGCATGTTCAGTTACACCAGTTCCATCCAATCACCGTGGCATCAGAATCCAATGTGGCCAGAGCTGGGACTGCCAGTAGCATACCTTGAGTGTGATTCCAAGGGGCAGTCCTTCAGCCTGCCCTCATTCCCAGCAAGTATTCCTGCTCAGGGTCCAGCAGCGAGCCCCATGCCTCTACAGACCAGGCCAACACAGATACAGGCTGCTCCCAGAAGCCTATGCTTGCTCCCAAAGTCTGACCATAGTAAAGCCCCTGCAAATGGCTAGAGGGAGACAAGGCTCTGGCTCCTCTTACCAAAACTCTGCTTGTCACAAGAAAGTCCCTAGACCTTCACCCAGCAGGTAAAATGGCAGGGGGAAGGAAGCTGGAACTGGGGCAGGAGAAGCCCAAACTACTCATGTAACAGATGCTCAGAGAGCAATAGCAGTAAAAATAGTTTCTTTGTACAGATTTCCCATCACCTATCACGATAAGAGTCTCCAGGACTCATTTTCTCTCCTGGGCTATAGGATACTGTTATTACCCTCAATACAACCAGCCAATTTGGTTTAGTCTCTCTCTCTCTCTGTGTACACCCTCACCCCTTGGATTAAGTAGACACATGACCTAGATGCAATATCACACATGGATAAGGAACAATCTACTGTACATCTGATGCCCTGTCACATATCTGGTGAGACCAGCATTAAAAGTCTTGCCAAGATGGCAGCCTTTCCGTTTCACGTGGTGCGGACTAGAAATCAAGGCACAACTCACTACAAGTTGGTTTCCACATATTTTTTTTAATGAAACAGAGGGCAAACGTTTGGTGTTATTAAAAGGATGAGTTCAAAGACCAAAAACAAACAAACAAACAAAAACCTTCTAGCGTCATTAATTATAAAACTGCTAGGACCAAGTAATTATTCTGAGGGATGTTCAACATTCAGAAGGCATAAATGAATGCACAGAAACCCTGCAGCCCCAGATAAAAGTGCCATAAAGCCTGGACTCACTGTGCCATCTCCCTCAGGATAAACAACCCTATTCCTCCTCCTCACAAAACGACAGGTACACTTTACAGTTTTATAGCGCACATTATTGATAAGTCAACTCTCCCCACCAATTCAATTCAAATGGACTATTATCCTTCAGTCTGAAAGGGGACTGGGAGAGTTTCTGTAACCCTATGCCATGCAGAGAAGTAATTACTCTGAGCTAAGAATTCACATTGTCGGCTGTGATTTGCTAATGTCAGAGGTCTCATCCTTTTTGATATTGGAAAATTATTCTACACACATACAAGTGAAGAACTTTGATAACTGCCTCTCAGCTCCTCCATCTATCAGTTATTATAGCTAATTGCTTCAATAATGGCCCAAATGTAATAGCGTATTTAGGTGCATGGGATGGTGATGGAATAGTATTTTCATGCACTGTAATAAAATGCAAGCGAATGGAATATTGGCTTCATATCTCAGAGTGTGGCTGTATAACCTGGCCTGATGCAACTGGAGTAATTGCTCCTTTCATGGCACAGTCTGTCTGTTAAGTTTCTTTCCTCTCTAGTCATCCATGCACAGGCTTTATACACATGAGAACCTTTAGTGTTGCTCATCTGCAACCATCATGTACTTCAGGATTTACCAGATTTTGCTAATCACAGAGCAAACTCCTGGCCCCTATTGGAGTCAATGGAAGTTTTGCCACTGACTAGATAATGGCCAGGATTCCACCACCCTAATGTTTATATACTTCAGCTCATGGAAGCCTTGAGATCCTTTGCTATTGTTGCCCCTTTGGCCTTAGTGGTTAGCCTATATATAGGGCCTTGCTGAGTTGTTTTCATTGACCTGCCTCTGCTCCAATTGAAGTCAGAGCCAGAGGAGAGTCAGACCATCACTATGCGTGCTGGAAAATCCTGCCACCGTAGTGTGACTTCAGGCCCTATAGGTTATATGGGAAAAGAAGTTTCCATAATAAATATCACATTGCAAAAGGGCACTAGGTCCCATTGTATGGCACAACAGTCTCTGGAATGGCTCTAGAACCATCATTTACATTTATCAAGGACAGCTGGTGGGATCCACAAATCCTCCACATTTTTAAATTCCCCAGGCAACATAGGAGAGCTTTCAAACATACACTGACACATAGTTGTTGAGAGGGGAGGGGATGAGGCAAAAGCTTCCAACAACAGAATATAACGCCTTTGTTTTAACAGGCATTACTTACCACCTTCACTGGATGGTCTGGATCGATGGAGCTGATTATCACTTATGGCAAGTCTTCATGCAGTCTGTGATTTCAGGTCTTCTCAGTGTGTGAAACTGATTAAAAGTTGTGGAAAACTAATAAGGACAGAGAGAAACAGGGAGTGGCAAATGTGGGGATGGAGACGCCAATACCGCACAGTGTACATTTTAAATCAAGCTGCATTTATGAGTCAAGCTAATGCAGCAGGGTGCTGAGTAGTGCGGATCAATGCCCACCTGGACCATGCTCAGGGAACCCACAGCCTTGCCAAGGAGGGGCAGATGAGCATGGGGGAGATGGAATGGGAGGGTGGAGTCTGAAAAGCAGGGAAAGGAAGCACAACAAAGGAGCAGGAGGAAAGACAATGGCTGGGACCTAGGTGTTAGGTGTGCAACTCCCATTGACTTTCAATGGCAACTGGGAACCTAACTCCCCTAGGGATCTTTGAATCTCTAACAGGGACATAAAATCCTTTCTGATTTGTCAGCTGACAAATTATTACAATAACTTTGGCTCAGTGGCCTATTCATTGTGAGTACTCTTACTAGAGCTATGTGGCAGCATTAGCTCACCACCTTGCCACGTGACTGGGTTAGCCAATCCGGTCCACTTTATAAATGAGGCTAGTACATAAAACAAAAGAGCTGGCGAGGGTGGATTAGGAATTCATTATCAACAAAAAAAGCATCAGGCTTGGTCTCCAATCTGTTCCCTTAGATGTGACAGAACACACACTGAAAACAGTCAAGGACAAGTGCCTTAAGATGTACTCCTCCTGTCGGAATGAAACAACTTTTCAGAAGCTATCTGGCACACTGACCTGACTCCTAAAGCCACTCTTATAATTCCCACCAGCTGCTCAGTGCTCTGTAATACAGCTGTTGTACAAATATAGTGGCTCTCATTCATGTGTGTTTATCCCTTAACTTGACTTCACCTTCTGTTCCAACTGCTCCTCTTTTATATCCATCACCATAGTGAGAATTCTGCCACCTTCCTTTGTTTTCTGCTTAAGTATTTTACTGCCTCAGGATCTGTGAAAGCAATATAAGAGCAAGATGGAAGCGGATGGAAATGAACAGCACAGCACGCAAGCAGCCGGGTGTAGGAGTTGCATGAAACTCCAGGAAATATTTACCAAACAGTACACTAGGAGAGGAGAGCTTCATTTGGAAAGTGTCTCCTCCCCCACTTAGGCTTGCTGTATACCTTGTTTTTTGAAAAGAGCATAACAACTCTTGGAAGCAGATGGTCAGATTAATTCCCTGGAGATGGGATACAAATGAAAACTCACTGGCTGAAAGAGATTTACTTTGTGCCTTGGGGGGTGGGGAGAGAAGAGGAGTAGAAATGAGAACAGGGAGAAGGGATTTTTCTGCTTTTGCTTTTATTTATCTTTTTTACAGATATAAAAATAAATTTTAAATAAATAGTTTACACTGGAATTTGCTCTGGGAAGACATCACAATCTCCATGGCAGTGAACACACACACTTTCCTGGAACAGAGACCTCTAGCCTCCTGAGTCAGTGTTTCAGATGGAGATGTACTTTCACCAGCACAATCACTCCCACCACGCAAAGTGTTTTGCTCCAGAGACGAGCATGATTTCCTTGTTTTCCACACTGCTAATTTAGCTTGGGGAATGAGGGGACATCTCTCCTGCAAGCTCCGTGTTATATTAGGCTCATGAGTACCTTCCCCCTCAGTTTGATGTGGTTTAATTAAACCAGTCTTCAAATCCACAGATCTTGAAGAGCTGTTACTTCTGGCGTGTGAACTGTTTCACTGTCCTTTCACTCTCCCTTTTCAGTTCCTCAATGTGAGCATCTAAGCGTTCCAGGATATGCTGAGATCTCACTTCTTCCTCCTCCAAAAACCTTGCTGCTATTGAGCCAATTGGAGCTGTAGGCAGGGGGCACTAAAGGAAAACAGAGATGTTAACAGGGCTCATGGGCACACAAACTGCAGCAGGAGGCTTCAACAGATGCAATATTCTGGCATTTGACTGTGAGGGGAAAAAACAGAGCATTTAATTCAAGTGAAACTGTACTGAACCACAAGCAGTTTCAACATGTTCAGGGAACCTAGAATCTAAATTGTGTCATTATGGAACTTTATTGAGGTGGCAGATTAGGAACCTTAAAAGGTCAGCTGGAAAAAGTGACATTCTAAAAGTGAGGCCCTGGGTGGCTAAGTTAACAAATGACTTAGGAACAGAAGCCTCACTGGAAGAACCATAGCTGGGACATCTGCTTCTAAGTCCCTTGCCACTCAGCAAGGGGCTAGATTTTGAATGAGCAAGGGACAAGGCCCTCAGGACGCCACAAAAAGCCAGCAGTAATATGAAATCAATAATGCAGAGATTGGGCATGCTTCCAGCCTGTCACAGTAAAAGAGTGCCAGCCTGAAGGTCAGCAAAAACAGGATTCCAGTCATACTTTCAAAAGGTACAGCACTACATGAGTTGTGTTGACATTCCCTCCTCTGGGCCAAGTCAGGGTCTCATGCTTAGACAAGTCACTGATACAACAATTCAGTCCTAGTTGCTAGCTGTAGGGCACACAGGGAGAGATACTGACTCTCCAGGTAGCTTCAGCCAGTCTCCAACAGCAGTGAAAAATCCTATAACACTACCGTGGTGCATGTAACTACTCTCCATAACAAGGACTTTGCATGTCCAGGGCTAAGTGGGAGCTACTATTGTGTGGAAAATGACTTCCACAGTTACCTACCCGACCACCGCACTTCTAGGGTGAATCCTGGCCCCGGGGAAGTTGGTGGTAAAATTCCTGTTGACTTCAATGGGGCAAGGATTTCATACTCAGTGTTGAACTTTCTACACAGCTTTAGGGTAACTCAAGACTATGAAAGAGGTTGTATAAAACCACTGTCTAATGGAGGGGTCGGCAACCTTTCAGAAGTGGTGTGCCAAGTCTTCATTTATTCACTCTAATTTTAAGGTTTCGCGTGCCAGTAATACATTTTAATGTTTGTAGAAGGTCTCTTTCTATAAGTCTATAATATATAACTAAACTATTGTTGTATGTAAAGTAAATAAGGTTTTTAAAATGTTTAAGAAGCTTTATTTTAAATTAAATTAAAATGCAGAGCCCCCCGGACCAGTGGCCAGGACCCGAGCAGTGTGAGTGCCACTGAAAATCAGCTCGTGTGCCGCCTTTAGCACACGTGCCATAGGTTGCCTACCCCTGGTCTAATACAAGTTTAAATCATTACAATGGTTTTATCACCAGAGTTTAGCCACCTTTTCCTGTGCATGTTACTCACCCACCTGCTGCTGCCTGTCTCTCCTCACTGCGGGAATGAGTTTCTGAGCAGACTATGAAGTCCCTGCTTTCTTTTATGTACTGCCTCCTTGAACATTACGGGTTTGTGAGGCACAAGTCCCATGCAGCTGGGAGGAATGCACTGAGCTCCCATCACACTCCTCTTCAGCCAGCCCTTGTTGATAAATTGCCATCTACTCTTTCAAATAAAAACGGAAGCTGGTTCTGCCACTCACTTGCCTCCCCCAGACAGCTCACCCCATGAAAGGGGACATTTGGAAGCTAAGTTTTAAACTACATTAAAAATGAGGGGGGGAAATTCAGAGAAGGGAATGAGTGGGGAGGGGAAGGGGAGATAAAATATGAGATCAGGAAGGAGTTGTTGTCCATCAGGGAAAGCCTGCCTTCAATTTCTTGGCAAGAGAAGACAATTGGTGATTTCCACATCCAGAGAGAGCCTCTTGGATTTCACCCAAGACAGAAAACGCTGGCCTTTCACAGATACGCAGCGGCTCGTGTCATCCAGTTTACTACCACTTCTCCAATCCCCTCTTTTTTTTGTGACAAATGCTGCCTGCTGGCAAGCTCCCTTTCTCTACTAATGCTGTAGGGGAATGATATACCAGTGGCAGCCTTTTAAGAGCCATAAAATAGTGACAAAGTACAGTGTATGGGGTGGGGAGAACCAAAAAACTCCAAGTGTCCTCCAATCAGTACTAGGAAAAATATGTGAACTAATTTCCTACCTCAGAAACTTGATTTCATTCTCCCCATCCACTATATTTTCAGCATAGCAGTTTTCCCTCTCCTACAAAATATTAAATGCCTGAGCCAAGTTTCACCAGATACGGATACAGAATATTTAATAACTGAAGCGGGTTGCTTATGTCAGTTGGTACACAACTCCAGTATCAAGAAGCAGTTCACTACAAGCTGAACCAACTTGGAGTTTAGAATTTGTATTTCAGCAGAAAGTCTTGCCCCAAAGTGTTCTGGGAAATAATCTTATTCCAAACCGTCATTCTAGTTATTACAGTATTCATCATCCCTGTACTATTTGCTTTCCTGGCTTTGGGTTACAACGTACCTCTACGCGCACACACAGTATAGTGGTGTTTAAAAGGTGGTCTCTGAAACCTGCTTATATTTGTCATATAAGAGACTGGAGACTCCTGACTATATCCCTTCTCTCTGAACAGTGACCAACAACCCTATATTACTACTTACCAAAGGCACAAGTTCTCTCTGTTGACTGGAGACTGACTCCCTGGATGCATCATCAGTGAAATCTTGTTTTCCATCCAGCACAGGGGGCAAAGGGTCTGCTCCCAGCAGCGAGTCAGAGGACAGGGATTCCTTAGAGCTGCTCCTGCTGATGTGGGGGCTCAATCCGCCTGCTGCACCAGACACAGCGCCCATCCCAGGCAACACATGCTGGGCTTTCAGAGTCTGGATCTCCCCTTTGTAGTGCTGAATGGTCTTTTCAAGCCTGGCCTGCAGTTTCCTTCTTTCTTCCTCGTGTTTGTGCTGCAGCTCCTGGGTTCTTCTGGAGAGCAGGACAGAAAGCACAAATATAACGTCAGGACAGTTTGGCTCTGTTTTACAGATCTTATCCAAGGTCCTTTTCTTGGAAAAGTTCAGAAAGGTTAGTCTTCACTTTCCTGATAGGCTTGGCAATTCAAACTGGCTGCTATCACTTGTTTTCACAAGACCCCAGAAGTACATCCAGTCTTCAGGGAATTCACACCACCATTTATTCTATTGTTCTGGTCATTTTAAGTATTACAGTCTGTGGAACATCCTATTACGACCACAGCTTCCTGTGCCACAGCTAATTCCTCCACAAAAACCAGTATACGTTTACTGAGGAGAATGCATGCATGCTTCAAATATGTGCTAATTTTGCTACACAAAAGCAGCTAAGCATAGCGGCAATGAAGAAGAGCACCAGTAAGGGCATGTCTACACAGCCTGCAGCAATGAGTTGCCCAGCCCCACTTGACAGACCTGGGTTAGCAGGCCTCACACTAGTGGTCTAAAAGTAGCTGTGTAGACAGTACTTTGTAGGTGCAGCTTGGGCTCTGAAGTCCAGCCCCGCTCCCTAGACTTCAGAGCCCGAGGTGCACAGTCAAAGCGCTGTCTAAACAGCTACTTTTAGACTGCTAGTGCAAGCCCCACTAACCGAACTCTGTCAACCCAGGCTGGGAGCCCCACTGTGAAATCCAAAATGCTATGTAGACATAGCCTAAGAGGCCAGCCAGCACTGCAGAACGAAGAGAACGGACTAAAAGCTATTGCTCCATTTAAAGCACAATGGCAAATTCCAGAATGGCCTTGTGTAAAAGTTTTGGGGTAGATATTCTGTACAAAATGTGGCATCAGAAACCTATTCGTTTGCCTTCTACTTTCCTTTGTAACAATAATAATAATAAAAACCTCTGTCCCCATGCCATGCTCTCACCTGCATTCTGTATCCTTGATCTCAGTCACTTTGCTTTGCATTTGCTGCACGATGCTTTCATACTTGTCCCGGCAGACCTGAGTGGAGAACTCTAACTTAGCTCTAGTCTCTGCCAGGTCCTTCTGCAGTTGCTGGTTCTCAGACTCTAATTTATTTAGCGCTGTGGTGTAGCTTTCTTGGATGTCTGTTACAGGGACATCTTTTGCCTAACAAAGGGAGAGATGTTGAAGTCAATCCAAACTTCTATTTTTCCGGATTTTGACAGAGATAATCTAGATCCAGAGCACAGATGGACCACATTCTTCCTAGAATGTATTCTAGGAGTTCCGTTTTAAGGAGTGAAATTTCCAGGCTTTTTACTAGCAATGATACCTCCAGAGGGTAAATCAATTGTTGCTCTCTTATTGAGTCTGCAACCAGACAGAATGAGCTAATCAAATAAGCAGAGATGTGAATTTCTTTCATTCATCTCAGATGGGTGTGAACTTTGAAGCCAAATTAGAGAGTCACTTAACTGCTAAATGACTCCTCAGGTACACCCAAACAAGTGTGTTTGCACTGGGGTGGCTAGATGTACTAGGCACCTTCTATTTATCTGAATGGGCTTTACATAAGGAACAACTTCTTTCCTGCTGCAGCAAAGTGGTAAAGTAATGACATGGGACTGACAAATCTAGAATTCTGCCTCCAAGAGCCCATTATAGACAAAAGAAACTCCCTCCACGTGCCCCTTCTCCCTTCCCCATCCCTCCCCCCCACCCCCACACACACATAGCCAATCCCGGGTCTGTGGGCATGAGCAGAAATGTATCTAGTTCTGAAATACCACTTCCAATCTTTTCTCTGAGTTTCACACATTACTTACTTACATTGTTAAAAGCGACAAAGAATCCTGTGGCACCTTATAGACTAACAGATGTATTGGAGCATAAGCTTTCGTGGGTGAATACCCACTTCGTCAGATGCATGTAGTGGAAATTTCCACTACATGCATCTGACGGAGTGGGTATTCACCCACGAAATCTTCCACTACATGCA